CATGTGAGAAAAAATGATTTCTCCACATATTTGTGAAATGATATGATGGGATGTTCCATGGGTCTTAGATTTCAGGCAAATTTTCTTATAAATGTGGTTTGACAATAAGTGCATTTGACAAGGTGTATTCAATTGTGGGTTTGACAAGTGCCTCTTCTACTGAGGCCTGCTTGACATCAGTTTCATTGAACTTGGGCATTTTATTACTTCAAGCAAGGAATTAGCTTCAAAAGGTTCCAACAATTTTGTTTCATGGGTTTAGAATGACCAATATTGTTCAGCAATAACAGTATTGCTGAGGTCTTGATGTCAATTTTTTATTGAGCACACAAGATAATTTCTTGGACACTGCCTGTATTATTCAGATACAACAATCTAATTATAATCAGGGGAAGGCTTCAACAAAAATACAATAATTGACCAGTTCAGGAAGACAGGAGTTTTTGACACAAGTCAAATTCTACTGCAAAAACTATTGTTGCAGTACTCTATATTTATGTCAATGCATGAAATATATATTCATATTTAGTGTGTCATGAAGAATGTACATTCAGGGTTTTTATAAAGAATTTTTCAAGCTTTCCAGGGTGGTGAGTTCTTATTAGATAGATTCTATCAGTTTGACTAGAGTCCCCTTCCTGTACAAGAGATCATGCTCTAAAAGAGTTTGCTTTATATAAGAACAGGTCACTTTGTGCATCATGAGACTACTTCTTAACAAAAAGAGGCCAGCAGTTTTAAAAGACAGTATATTAGAGTCCCCTTCCTGTACAAGAGATCATGCTCTAAAAGAGTTTGCTTTATATAAGAACAGGTCACTTTGTGCATCATGAGACTACTTCTCAACAAAAAGAGGCCACGTCAAAATTTTCTGTCATATAACCGGACAAAGGTAAACTTACTCTATGAACTGTTCTTCGATTAAGTTTGTTACCATCTTAAAAACTGTGTACGTTACAGTAAACGTATTCGTACCAGTAGATGATTATATGTGGTGCCTTGCCTAGCAAATGCACTGGCAAATAATCAACCTGCCTAAGTAACACCAGAAAAATAAATGAATGTCTTCCCTAGCAAACACTGGCCTGCTTTGCAAATTTTTGCTGGCCTGCCCTTAAACAATATATATTTTAAAAAATAATGCTGTTGTTTCTTTCCCTCAACAAAAATGCTTGTTTTTCAAGCATCTTTGTTGAGGAAAAGTGAGAAGAATGGAAGCAAATTGTAATTGGTGATATTCTAGGCCTAAAATTACTTCCTAAATGAGTTGACTGGATGCAGAACTTGGAGGCAAAGGTTCATTTGCCTAGTTGATCCTGCACTTCCTTTCAAAAGTTAGTAAAAGTTTATTTTTATGGCTTTCATTTGACATTGTAATGTTTTTATGTCTTTCATATTTCCTGTGATAATAGGATAAAAGGACTCCAGAATCCAATGTATGGAGATTTGAGGGGAAAGTCTGAGACTCAGGGAGGTTTTAATACATGTTGTTTCTAATGAAATTCAGACATAGACAAACATATTTTGTTTTCAGGAAGTTCCAAGTGCTGGTTATCCCTATAGTTGCATTTTAGCTTGCAAGAGGTCTAATCAGTGCTTGTACCTCATGCAAAAGTGACATCTATGCAAAGTCATAACAGAGGATTGACTCCTACTTTGCTCATAGATGTCGCATATGCATGAAGTACAAATAGATGCCCTACAAATAATGTTCTACCTAGCAGATGCAGTCCTGCAACTGTATGCTTGTGTTTGCTAGGCCAGTCACCAATGTATAGATTTTTTAAATTGTGCAATCCTAGCAAATAATCCAGGTATATGCAAGCATTACAAGCAGGCATGAGAGTACACCTGTTTTCAACCAATAACATATGCAGTTTGCCAATTACAAATTTTTGTTTGTGTCAAGTTCCTCAGGTTTATTCTTACATTATAAATGCTCCAGTTGGCTAATTTTTTAATTCACAGGGGCCTATTATTTGCCTGGTGAGCCCATAATGCTGCAGCATCAACTGCATCATTAGCACCTGCTTTAATCTGGCCTTGCCTCAAGTTACTTATATGATGTGGATGTACTTGTTCAAAAGTTTAACAGTTTGTCAGGAGTGTTGGTCAGTTCAACTCGAGGTAGACATAGTTGAAAAGTTTGGTGTCAAGTTCTTCCAAACGTGAAAGTTTATACTAATCACATCCAGCTAGAGGATAAAAAATTGTAACACTTGTATGACAAAAAAGTGGACTCCTGTATACTGTGAAGAAGTTGTCCTGTGACACCCTTTATTCCAGTGTGAACATCCTTCCTAGACCTGGTATCACTATAGTCCTGTGACACTGCCCAGTGTACTGTAAACTCAAATTCTCAAGTCTGTCACTAGTGTGTGTAAAGAAGAGAGTGATGAGAATAGGGAGTGAGGGGATGGGGGGTGCAGTGGCCTAGACTTTGGCCGACCAAGAGTTCTGCTCCGGCGAGAAACTACACCACCTGGCGAACAGGTGTTCCAGGTTATATCCGTTGTTTGTGTCATATGGGAGTACAGTACAGTACAGTTAATGGTATTCGTGCTTCCTTTGCCTGAGCATGTATAACTGATTATGTGAAATTAATTTTACAAACTAAAGTTTGAAATACCGGGAATGAACTTTCTCTTGAAATAAACGAATCAATTGTTTCTTCAGTGCACTTCCCGTAAATGGAAATACTGTACAGCACTCCATCATTGAAAAATATCCTTCACTGCATATGGTTTGATCTATGTATAAAATGTGCGAGATATTGATTGGAACGCATATAATAAATTGCTTTCAGATTTACTGAGCACTGAAATATCTTATAAAAGATTTTAAAAATAAATTATTGGAAAGTGCAGATTCAGTACTTGTTCCCATGTTGTCAATTTAATGCATGATTTAAATCCTTTTGTCATATGATAGGTATTGTGATAGTACAATACATTACCTGTACAGTACTATGTACTATAAAACATTTTCAATATTCTAAGAAAATACAGCATCTAATTTTCGTGCATATATTATTTAAACTTACATCGACTACACCAATCTCAAAATAAATATCTTGCTTCAATAGTACTGTACATAAAGACAATTTGAAACTAAAACTGGAAATTTGACCTCGCTATATGTGTGAAGGGAAGAATTATAATTTATAGCATTTCGACTCTCTGCCTGGCTAAAAGAGCTTTGCTAAAAAAATGCAAAAATTTTCCTGAGAAATTTTTTTTACAAACTCTGTTACCATATATTTAGCCTATCCTGTTGAATAAAATGCGTTACAATTAGAACCAGTGATGGATCATGCGTGATAAGATGGGTTAATTAATTAATGACACATGATTCATCAGGGGTAACAGGATTTTTGTACCGTTTCCACAAGACCTTACGGTAACCCTGCCATATACCGTAATTTTTTTTTCTTCCACAACCCATAAAATTGTATGATGTTACTCACCATTTATGTGAATTTATGGAAGGCAAGGCCAGAACCTGAAACTTTTTTACACAAAACAAATCCGGACAGATTTTTCAGCTTTCTTTTATTAATTTTTCTTGAATTCAAAGAAGTCCCGTCTGACAGCTGCATTCATACACAAACTCAAAAAAGATAATAAGTCACTAATAGCGCAAATGCCCTGCACATAGAGGCTTTCAAGTTGTGGATGTACTTGTTCAAATCAAATTGTCAAACAGTCCTCACAACCAGTCAAGTTGAGCTCCATCTGTATCAACTTTTCAAACCACAGTTCAAGAAGGTTTGCACTTTCAAATATGATTAGTGTAGAAGCTAGAGGATAAAGCTTTGTAACACTTGAATGACAAAAAAGTGGACTCCTGTATACTGTGAAGAAGTTGTTGGTATCACTATAGTCCTGTGACACCACCCAGCGCACTGTAAACTTGAATCCTCAAGTCTGTCACTAGTGTGCATAAAGAAGAGAGTGAGGAGAAGAGGGAGTGAGGGTATGGGGGGTGCATTGGCCTAGAGTTTTGCTGACCAAGAGTTCTGCTCCAGCAAGAAACTACACCACAGGAGGGGCAGGTGGAAGTGAGTTGTGTTGAGTTTGAAAGTGTACCATAAGGTCTGGTCACCAATTTCAAGAGCCTAAAACCCATGCTGCAGAAATACCGCACTTACTCCAGTATGCGCCCTTCAGTTTTGGTGTTTAGTCCTGCACCAGAATTCTTCAGTAAAAATTTGTTACAAAAGCTTGTACCGGAGCAAGATGTGCACCCCATTTTTAGTGAATCTAAAAGCAAAACATTTCCAAAGAAAAATCACCCAAAATTGAATTTACACCTGAATTGATCCTAAATTCAACACGTTTTCAATTAATTATATTTAAAAAATATGTTTCCCTTTCAATGATTTCCTTTTAAGCTTGGTCCAAATGTTCCCATTAAAATCGAATATTATGAAAACCTAAACTTGTAATTTTTTTTAAAGTTTATACTCGACTATGACCGGCGAGTTTTTCCTCAGGGATTTTCCTCTCAATCGAAGTGCTTCCCAATTCTTTTCGCAGCCTTTTCAAACTGAGGTGTGATTGAGAGGTCTGAAGAAAGAAAAATAAAATACATAAGCTTACGCGCGGTAGCTGCACTGAAGAGAGGGCAGTATGGAAGTGTCTCCTTTGAAAATTCGGTGATTCTTGCGAATTGAATTATGGAGTTCCGCGGTGGTTTGGAGTTGTGGACTGCTGGCGCATTTCAGAAAGTCGTCTTCTGCATGAGGGAACGTGGAATGAATTAATTATCGCTGTGCTCCATTGTACAAGGTTGACGGAAATATGCAGTCCCGTCAGCGGAGGAGTAACTAGTCTTATTAATTGCCTTTCCCTTTTATTCGTTATTAACGCTTAATTTTGTATTCGAGCTCTGTAGGTACTTCGCGATGAGTTGGTTTCTCGGACATCTTCAGATTCGTGAAGTTCTCTTTCAAAATCTGCCTTTCACCTTTAAATGGAAGTTCTCTACTAATTCATCTGATGTTCCCGATCCAATTTTCTTTGTCGGCTTGTTCAGCTTTATTGAACGGAAGAAAAAACGTTGGCAAGAAGCCCGCCTTTCCCAATGTCGAACAGCGCTGGCCTATCGCCAAGGTTAGGTACCGTGCACTTGTTGTGGGAGCCTCGCATACTTTGTTCCAAGGTTCATTTTCCAATCAACTTTGAACTGGCAGGTCTTGTTCTGCCTTCCGATTACTTCTGCAACTGTGTATTGAGTGCGTTCGTTCTAAGCTTGCTTGCGTGGTGATTACGCGACGAATTTCATGAAACTCGGGATTTTATGATTCGAAACGTGCGTTGCTTGCTGCTGAAGCCAGTAGATCTCCCCCCTCATGTGCTACACTCAATCCGGCGAAGCAGTGATTCGTCCCATAGATGGTTGACTCGGCAGGCGAAGGATCCGTTCGTTAACGCTGCTCGACATGCCAAATACAGGTTAAATTATTTGATTTTGAAGTATTCGCTCAATGTACGGAGAGGCGCAATTTCTACGCCCAAAAGCCTTATGAGCTCTTCCTTCAGAGTCTCACAGTACAGTCCCAAACGTGGTTATTTTCTGATTGTTCTGGTCATTGGTGCTATTATTTTTAAGGTGTAATAATTGGAGTGCACTGACGTTGGTGAGAGAGAAATCACCTTGTAAGGAAAGCAGAAAATTAATGTTCGTGAGACCAAGGGTTTCATGGGATATATTTTTTTGTCTCGCGTGAGACAAATATTGACGCTAGATCTAATATCTAGTGTACTTCCAAAGCCGACGAATACCCAGGAAAAAAGAAATGTTTCGAAAGTGTCGGAAATTCGATTTAGCCAAATAATTGATTGTGGATGCTCTTACCAAGGGGGCTCAATTTGCTGAAACTATGCTAGAGCGATCTCATGGTTTTCAGATGAACCTTAGTTTGAGTTTCATGAAAATTTTTCGAAATCTATGCTGACCGTTGGATGCCGTAAGCGTTTCCTTTGGGCGAATGAAATTTCTGGATTACAAGCATCTTCGCGCTAAAAAGCTTTTTATTCGTTGTCATAACGTTGTGAATTCTTTAAAGAATTGTGGAACTAAGAAAACTCTCTTCTTCCGTGAATAGGGCCCGAAGCGCATTCAAACTTATTCAGATCGACGACAAATACGCATTCTTACAACCAGGTGCCGTTGTCATTGATTGCGGTGCCTCTCCAGGGTCATGGTCTCAAATCGCTGTCGAAAGAACCAACTCTGATGGACGTTCGCCGCGTAAGAAGAAAGGCGAAGTCATCGCAGTTGATTTACAACCCATTCATCCGCTTCCCGGGCTCACAATTGTTGCTCCAGCGGATTTCACTCACGAATCCACTTTGAAGAAGCTCAAAGAAATTTTAAATGATCGCCGAGTTGATGTCGTTATGAGTGATATGTCGCCGAGAGCATCTGGAATGAAATCGTTAGACCAAGACGTGAGTCTGGAGTTGTGCAAAAGTGTGTTTCGTTACGCGTTGGAAGTCCTTTCCCCGGGAAAAGGGGTGTTTTTGTGTAAGATGATTTTTGGCGGAGACGCGTCCAGTTTCATGCGTGAAGTCAAGAGTGCGTTTGAGGCCGCATCTTTCGTGAAACCTGCGGCTAGTCGTAGTGATTCCTCGGAAATATTTCTAATCGGACTAAGAAAACGCGCTTCTTGAAAATCTTCACGTGATTTATCGTGGATTGTCCTCGGAATGATCGCTCGGTATGTGTTGTGCAGTGGATCGAATGTCGTGCAGACTGCGCGATGAATAACGGCAGAAATTGAGGCTCCTTTTTTTCCGTGTCATGGACAGATATTGTTGAATAAATCCGTGAATCCGAGCGAATATGTCCGTAGTGGAGGACTACAGTGATATTGACTATGAGGAAGAAGAAGTCGAAGAAGAAGACAAAGGCGAAGAGATCGTCGTGAAAGGTTCCATTCAGTTTAGCCTTGTGCCAAAGGAAGCTATTGCAGCTGATGGCGTGGTTGTCAGCAAGACGAAAGTACCTCCAATTTCCGAAACTCCTACGAACGAACGTGAGTTCTGTGTACATCTTCTTCGTGATTAGCCCTCAAAAAAATTCGGCATGCCGGGATCTGCTGTGGTATTGCAAGTTTCTAAAGGACTATTTATGCAGAAATCTCCGTGTACAGTTTGTTACTGTTGGGTGTTATCTGTGTGTTTCGTGATCTTTGCTGTACCCTTTTCATTCATAGATGAAGAACTGGCGCGTCAGCGAAACACTATACTTTTCCTCCGACTTCGAACATATTTTTCTGAAGATTTAAAAATTAAATGTAAAGTTGTACACTGATGTACAGTAATTATATTTCTTCGTTGAAGCTGCTCTCGAATTTTCTTCCTGTATTTTTTGTGTGTTTTGAAACGACGGCAATCTTGTCTTTAACATGAGCAACGCAATCTTGGAATTTTCTTGCCGACTAATGAAAAAAACTACTGTACAGTTGAGCTTCGATAATTCGAACCTCCCTGAGTTGAACTCAGACTTCCCTAAGTCGACTTTTTTTCAAGTCCCTGTGTGAATTTTCTTAGAAAGAATGCATTATTTAAGAATCTCCATCACTTAAATTTTCTGGAAGCCTTTTGGTTATTATTCTAATGGCACAGGGGCGAGAAAAGCAATAAAAATGTAACTTGATGTGTTTTGAAATGAAGGAAGCATGCTGAACCATTGACTCCAAGTTCAGCATGCCGTCTACTTATTTAGGAAGCAATTCAAGGCCCAGAATATCACCAATAGAAATTTCCTGTGCAGTAATTCTACTTTCTTTCCCCGAAGAAATATTGTTCGTTCCCTTGACTGGAAACCTCCTTAACTCGATTTTTTCTGCTGGTCCCTTGAATTTTGAATTAAAGAGGTTCGTCTGTACTGTACAGGTTCGATACTTTCGTAACTAAACCTTGCATTGTAACGAAGCATGCTCGATAACTGATTACCCTAACCTCAGAAGTCTTCAATGACCTAAACGAAGCCCGTAATAATTAACTCAACGTAACCCTTTTCATCTTTGATGTTGGTTGAAATATAATGAAGCGATTCGTGAGCAGCTTCAGTAAAGAAAAAAAAACTTTTTTTTCGATGGTATTCTGATCTCGTAAATGTCGAACTAAATTCGTTCATAAATTTATATTTTGTTCGCACTTCTCGTTGAACCAACGCGAGATCATTAAAGTGTAATAAATTTTCAGTGGCATCGGCCGTTTTGACTGCTCCTGATGGCTCGATAGTTTACCTGATCGGCACGGTTCATTTTAGCCGTGAAAGTCAAGAGATCGTTAAGGAGGTAATTCTGGAGCTGAAATTATGTTTGGAAAATGTTCTAGAAATTCCGCTCGTTTTAGGTTATTTCCCGTGTCCGTCCACGTGTGGTGGTGCTCGAGCTTTGCAGAGAACGTAGGGCTCTGTTGGATATTGATGAAGAGACTCTGTTGGAAAATGCGAAGAACATAAATATTGGTGAGAAATAGCTGCGAATTGTGTTGACGATTATGTCAGTTTTGATGTTGAGATACCAGAGTTGACTTAAGAAGAAAAAAAATTACCGATTTTTCAAAAACTTGCAAGATCTGTTCTGAATAACCAAAGTACTGTACATCACTCTCAAAAGTAACTTCCGACTGAAGTTTCCTTTGTTAATTTAACCTGGGGTCTAACAAAAGGGCGCCTCATCTTCAGTGATGAGCAGAAAGCTGCCGTGGTGACTTTTGTCGAATGAATTACGTAAAATCAAAATTACCTTTTTTTTTTCTTGTGCCGAAGAATGTTTTTTTCTGAATGATGTTTGTTTTTCAGCTCAATCCTATGCTGTTCGAATTTTTATTCCGAGGAATTTTGTTGGACCCCCTTGAAAAATTTTTCTTCAACTTCTAGATTTTGGCTGTATTCGTGTGATTCTGCTAGCCATTTGAAACAAGAAGTACCCAAGTCAAAGGTTCCCACGTTTTCGTCAAACTACACGTTTTGAATCTGCCAGTTTTCTGACGATCAGGGGTTTAATTTTTATTTTGAAATAAAGTTAATTTGGATTTAGGAAAAGCGTACGTGTTTAGAAGTCTTCCATCAAGTTTTTCGTCATTTAACTAAGCTTACAAGTAATGTACTACCTCCTTGTCAAAATAAATGAGAAATCTATGCACTGATGAGTTCTTGAAAGGTGTACTTTTTGTTTTAGAGGGTCTGCTGCATATTTTTAAAATTACTGTACCATTTATACTTGAGTTGCACGCGCACCTTTTTTCTCAAATTTGTGTGTCAAAGGTGGTTATGAAATTTTTAAAAAGTTATATAAATTTAGGTTTGCATTGTACTTCATTCTACTGATAAATTTCGGACCAATTTGAATCTGAAGAAATGAGTTGAATTCCGGTTCGATTCATGTCTAGATTCAAATTTGGGTGTTCTTATCTTTGAGATATTGCAGTCTTAGCGTCACAGAAATGGGGTATAAATCTTACTCATGGATGCGATTTTGTCAAAATTTTAGACTGAAAAAACCCGTCTGTGCGTTTTACTTTAAGAACTTGTGGTACTTGAGAAAATATGGCTCTGAAGTTAATTTAACAGCACTATCTGAGCTACTGGAATGTCTAAACAGGTGGACTATCTGCACAACAAATTTCATGAGTATCGTAAAAAATTTGTTGTAAAGATAAATTCATTGTATAGAAACTGTAGGACCGGTAGGGACCTCTGTGGACCTAAAAATTCGTCTTACAGATAAGATTTTTCTGGAGAGAGTTTTTTTACCTGGCGGAATCGAACTGTAGATCTGAGTGTGTGTGTGCAACTTTCCTGAGTGCGGTACTTACTTAAAATGGCCGTCATTGTCGTACCAATGCAGCTAAAGCTATAAAATCAGAGATTATTAGGATTGCTGTTTGATTTGATTACAGTATCTCAATTGAATATTGACGCTTTGGTCATTTCGAAAATGTTGTAAAAATGTTTAAACTTCCTATGAGTCTACCGTGTCTAACTCCAGAGTTATTATGAAGTTCGTGTTTTCAGATGCTATTCTTCATGCCGTGAGGACAGTAGGAGTGTTCTCTGCATGCTTGCATGTGATGTTGCTGAAAATTTCAGCGGAAGTGACGAAAGTTTGCGGGATGGCTCCTGGTGGCGAATTCCGTTGCGCTGCGTCCGAGGTTGGGCTTTGTACTGTAGTGTGTGACTCGTTTTTTGTTTTTGTTGTTTTTTCTCATAGCGAATTTGTGTGTTGAAGGCGAGGAAACTCGGACGCTGCATTTTGAACCTCGGTGACCGTCCGATTGACATAACTTTGAAACGTGCATTCCACTCCTTGAGTTGCTGGCGGAAGTTAAAACTATTGTATCACGTGCTCTTTCAGTCTGAAAAGATAACGTGAGTTACATTTTTGAGTTTATGTGAGACGTTTTGCGCATCGAGGGGAAATTTAGACTGATTTTTAACGAACAGTGTTGGTGTTGCAGCAGAGATTCAAGCTACAGTTTTTGCTCAGAAAAACAACGTGGATTTTTAATTGACTCGATAATCTTCCAGTCTAGAGTACGGTATTTTTCAATTTCATGTTGTAAGCTGCATTGGTATTTCCGCCATCGTGATTGAACAATATTAATGAAACTAATTTTTATTTATGCATTTTGATTTGGCGTGTTAGCTACTTTTAGAATTTTGCTTTTTTGTCGAGGTAACAAATACTGTATAGAGAATTTCTTCAATGTTCACCTCATTTATTTTAGCAGCAAACCGCAGTTATTTTCTCCTCGACTGACTGAAGTCTTTGAATCATTGTGATCCGTCATTTTTTTACGTCAACTTCGATCGGACGAAATAACTGCGAGCTGTTTTTGAAATGATTGTGAAATAATTACGAAAAAATTGACCCTCTTAAAAACAGAACTGACATTTCAATATTCTGGAAATTTCGCAGAATCGATCTGAAGGTCCGAAAATCACGCTGCGACTTTTTCAAGAGAAATAAATAAATATCTGAAGATAGGGCGAAAATAACGAAAGAACGGCTTACTTCGAAACAGAAGTGAACTTGAAAAATTCAGGAAACTTTTTACTTGGTAATTGACTTGAAGGTCTGAAAATTACCTGGTGACATTTTTTTAAGGGGCACTTTTTTATCAATAATTTCAAAAAATGGCCTACTTGGAAACATAACTGGAATTATAAAATGTAGGAAGCTTGTCAGAATTGAACTAAAAGTCTGAAAATCACGTGGCGACTATTTTTGGTCGTTTTCGAATGTCTGAAGATGGGGAAAAACGATAACCAAGAAATTGCCTCCTTTGAAATGGAACTGAAATTTCAAAATTCAGGAAACTTTACAATCGAACTGAAGGTCCGAAAATCACGTGGTGACTCATTTTTTCAGGGGCCATCTGAAGATATTGATCATGCCGGTGCAGCTGTAAATAATTCCATGAATCAATTTAGTTTTGATATGCCAGCTCAAACCGTGTACAATTTTTGATTCTCTTGGTACTGTAATAGTTTGATCCAAACATTTTGATTGAAATAATGGGCGACTGCATAAAACAATCGAATGGAAACTCGTAGTCCCTTTAAACAAAACCAAGTGTTCAAACAGCAATCGCAAAATTCTCGAAAATGTTGCAAATTCTTTCGACAGAATTATTGATCCGGGCAATTATGATTTTGCAGGCAGGATGATGTGAATAAGTGTCTTCGTCCGGATGCTGTGAAAGATGTGATGGAAGAGCTAACGAAAGAATTCCCAGAGTTATGCAAAGTTTTCATCGACGAGAGGGATTTGTATTTGGCCCATTCGCTGCAGATTGCAGCCTCGAAGGAATTCGTGCATTCTTGCTTTTCTGTGCCTGGTCAAGCGAGAGAGTTGAGTGAGTGCCGTGCTGTAGTGGCATTTTTCATTAGATCATATCGTGTGTGTTTCGTTTTGCTTATTCACAGTGTAAAAATTTTTTTTTTTATGCCGAGTGCTGCCAGTATTTTTTGAAGGAGATTCCGTAATATTTTGAAGGGTGCAGTTGGGTTTGTTTTTTTTTTCCGCAGTGGATGAACCTCACGCTGTTGTGGGAGTCGTCGGAATGGGACACGTGCAAGGTATTGTGGAACAATTTGGCAAAGTGTCTCCGGCGGATGCAGAGAAAGTATCAAAGTGAGTTTCTGGAATTCTCCCCCGCAGTCGAATTTTTGTTGTGGGTCCCTCTGAGTTTCACGGTATGATTCATTTGAACCTGTTTTCTTTTTTCACTTCTGTCTGAATCCTCTTGGAAAAGATGCATTTAAAACTTCACTAATTCAAAGGCTTTCCCTTAAACCTCCATAACTCGAATTTTCTGGAGGTCTTTTGGCTGCTATTTTATTGACACAGATAAGAGAAAAGCAATGCAACTTCAAGTTGATGTGCTCTGAAAGGAAGGAAAAAACGAATTGGGCAAAGAAACCCTTGCCTGCAAGTTCAGCATCCTGTCAACTCATGCAGAAAGGAATTTAAGGTCCAGAATATCACCATTTCACAATTTTCTGTAATGATTTTATTTTCTGTCTCCCAACAAAAAAAAAAAGCATTTCTTTGACTGGAAACCTTCTTAGCTGAATATCCCTTGAAGTTTGACTTGAATGGTTGTGCAAGGGTTGTCCCACTTGAACGTGACCTTGATTTGAGTGTGTATGACTTTTGAAAAAATTCGCACATAATCTTGTAAGGTTCTTGAATTTTTTCATCAAATTTTTAAATTTTCTGCTGGATGATAAGTGAAAACTTTTTAGTTACTGCCAGAGTTTTCCACCCATTTCAAAGGGTGCTAAAAATTGCAATCAGCTTTAAAAATTAACTGTTGTTGCTTTCACCGTCTTAATTTCTCAATTTTAGAGAGTGGTTGGAAATGACGTAGATATTTTCTAAATTTTAGAGAATGGTTGGAAATGACGTAGAAATTTCAATTTTCACCTGGCTTGCACCCTGTGACATGGGTGAAAAACTCTGGCCCTGTAATTGGAAAAAAATTTCACTGATCATCATGCAGTGAATTGAACAATTTTATTAAAAGTCCGAAAAATCCCAAGATCATGAGATGTATCATGATTTTTTTTATTCATACCTACTCTAGAAATGAAAAAGTTCACGCTTAAGTGGGACAACCCCTGGTATATTAATGCCTTCATTTCCATCTGTGTTTTGACTGGGGGTGACATCTGCCGACTTGAAGTAAATGTGTACATGGCGATTCTTATTTATTGTATTTGGAATATTCTTAACGTGAGCTATCTTTTTTTTTATCGCTGAACTTTATGGACACCCTTTGCAGTATCACTGAATAATTTCAAGATTGATTCTTTTTCAAAATTAATTTCAAAAGTGAAGTCGTGGGGATGAGTTTTTTTTTTGAGGAAAGAATTCAAGCTTGGCTGATTTCTTTTTATGTTTGAGTTATCCCTTTCTAGTGGTATCTCAATCGAGAAAAAAAAAGATTGATTTATTTAGAATTTTTCATCATCCTGTGAACCGTTGCAGATTACCACCGCCGTCAAGAACATACGCGCTCATGCGGGTGACGTTGAAAGTGACTGTGATCGCAGGAATCGTGTACGGTGTGCACAAGCTGGTGCCGAAGCCCGCCTTCCTTTCGTGGGACAACTTCAACTCGGGGCTAGAACGCGCCTGTACGGGTGTGAAAAACGCCACGGGGCTGGATTTCAAGGCACTGCCGCATCAAGTTGGCGGACGGGTGTCTGCGTTTGCGGAATCTTTCGCGAAGCGTTCTCACATATAAAACAACAACAAGAAAGGTCCACATTCTGAAGCTTTTTTTCCTGTATTGGAGTCAGGTTCGTGCGGATTCCTGTTCCTTACGTGACGTTGAAATTAACTTTGTATGAGGTTTTTTCGCGATTACTATTATTACTTTGTCAAAACAACCACCGATCACCAGAATCTTGAGTGTGAGTGAAATTTTCTTTGCATTCTATTGTTCATAGAGAGATGGTGATTATCCATATTCTCTGCATATATATTATGCATATTAAATGCTTAGTTCATTTCCACTTGATTCTTGTGTGTCTGAACAGGAAGTTTGCATTGGCGAAGAGCTTTTTTCCCGTGTTTCAAACCAACTGTTACCAGACGAGGTGCATCGAAATTGAGTTTACAAATTGTAAGATTTTAAAATTTAATTTCGATTTAAATAAATTACAGCATTGTTAGATCAGAAAAAAATTCAAGAAATAAATCCGTTTTCGTTATGGAACACAATTACTGCACTTTCGAAAAAATAAATGAAACTGGCGATGGCACGGTGTAAGATTAAAAGGTGGACTTTCTCTACAGTAATTATGTCTGCAATGATTTTCTCTGTGTTACGGCTTGTTTTGGTTTCCAGAGAATTCTCTCCCATTTTTATAGGGATTCTTTAGGACGAAGTATTTTTTTCTGGTCTCTTCGAATTTTGTTGTAGAGAGAGCGAGTCCATCTGTATTGTGACTACTAGTGACATCTGCCCACACGGAAATAAGTTTTCAAGTGGCACTAAATGAATGATCTATTGTTTTGAGGAAATTATTAATTTTGTATATCAATTTTTCACTGCTGAACGTTTTTGACATCCCCTTTACAACATCACCAAATGATTATAATTATTGATTCTGTGGCAAAATCTGTGAAATCGCGCGGATGATGTTTTTTATAGGAAAGAATTTAAGCTTGGATGATTTTTTTTAGTGTCCCTACGAAGTATTTTACGTCTTCCTGGAGTTGATGCGGGACGACGAAGTGGTTGACATGATGCAAAAAAGTTCACCTTCGGTGTGATTGCGTGGAAACGTTTCAGGATAGTTTCCAGCCGATTGAACCCGATACATTCAATTGAAAATTAAACTGGTTACCACGAAGAAAAGTGATTTTGGGAAGTTTGATGACGTGTCGAGACCCCTCGTTTTTTTTTTTCGGAGCGAAACTGATGACAAAAATTGTGTGTCGAGTGACGTCAAATTTTCAAAAAATACAAAAATCAGCTTGTACGGGAAGTACATACGTCCGTAATTTCGTATTTGAGCGAGGATTCGTGCTCATTGAAACGCGGTTGTTCAACGTTCTTCGTCCTGAAATATTTCTGAAAAAACCGTGTACTGTACATTGGTTTTCCACGTAGATGCGTATTTTTCTGAAGCGGTGAGTTGGATTTGCAGTGTGGCAGGTTTCTTAGATGTTTGCTGTTGTGCTTCTTCGAGTGTTGAACACGCGGAGCAATGTTGTGGAACTGTTTTTCCTTCTGAATTGTTGCAGAGAGGTGCGTTGATTACTGCGAACTTTGAAAGAAAAGAAAGTGGGTAAAATCCAGTATTTTCACTGTATCCTCGCGTTTTCATTCCGTTTCATTTTGTGCATTGATTCCTTGTGTGGAAGTTTGTTCGGGGGAGATTAGCTGGATTCGAAGATGAATAGGGCGGTATTTTTCATGGCCTATATGGCAGTAAAATCTTGTTACAACAAAGCCAACCCTACCAGTGAAATGGCTTTTCTTTAAGAAAAAAAAATGTCCTTTAGAGAAAGGGAGACCCCCAGGTGCGGATGTAATGGTGCATCAAGAGTGTTCCTAAGTTGAGTCTCATTTTCCAATAGACTTACATTATATAATTTTGAATTGGTGTTTTATGGAAGAAATATTCTTCAGAATTCCATGAAAAAAATTGTTTGCGGCTTAAGTTTGATTCAGTGAATATGTTCCAACTCAATAAGAACAATTGGAGCATTGAATAGTGTATCTCTGTACTGCTGTACATTGAAATGTTGGCATCTGTACAAATAGCATTCAAGTCACAAAGAGAAAAGGAAGTCCCTTTATGCTATAGGTAATTTTTTTTTTAATTAGCTGAATGGATGGGAAAATGATGGGAGAAATACCAAAGAACTTTTCTTGCCTAGATCTTAGGGTTCAAAATATCTGTTTCTTGCAATTAGGTCTAATAAAATGTCAATTTTCCTGAAATGTATTGGCAATTTTATCGTGCAATGCCTGCATGATTTTTCAGTGTCCATATGTTGGGCCTTTTTTATTGAAAAATACATGTCCATATGTTGAAATGTCTGCATGTCAAGGTGTCTGTATGTGGGGGTCTCACCTGTAACTCATTTGGCATTGTGTCTACTTGACAGGGTTCTAAAAATAACTTCTTTGTGGGTAATTATTTGTTATAATAAGATTTTACTGTAATATATTTTTGGGTTTACATCTGGTGCCTCTTTTCATGATGACGTATTGTCCCTGATTAAATTTCTGTCAGATTGTGAAATTATTTTTATTTTTTCTTCAATCTGTCTGATTTGAATTTGGTCTTCTTTTTGATCCCAATCATGTTTTTTTAGCGGACTGGGTCACTGAAGAAAGAAGAGCCCGTTATTTTCTTCTTTAAAATATAACGAAATGGATAAATTTTCTGGATGTTGAGGATTTCTTCAGGCTTTTTCATTCTTCTAATTTTCCCTTGAAGTTTTCTGCCCTTTTTTTCAGATTTTTCCACAGATGAATATTTTGTATGTTAATCTTTGCACTGCGTTCTTCGTTTTATGCTTCATTCATTTGATGATTTCCTTTTTGCGCATGGCTAGGAAAAGTGATGTGTGAAGATACTCCGTTTATTGATTCGTGAAATCGATTTATTTTTCCTGCGTTGAAAAATCTTCCGATGATTGCAGATATTCGAACATTTTTTTTTACTTCTGGTTGCCCAGGGATCAGTGAATTTCGACAATGGAGTGCTTTGGCTTGGAAGCCGGTTTGAAAGTTGCGTTCCTCAGACCCGACAAACGTGGTAAGCGATATATTCTCAATCGAGTTTGAAAAGAAATTTCGAAGGTTCGGATTTTCGCTGTTTTGAGACGTTGAGCGCTTATTTTCGAGTACAGTAATTTGTGCGCAACGTAATTTTCTAGTTCTTATCAGCCATATTATAGAGCACATTTCAGACATCGACGATATCAACCGATTGCCATGTTTCAATCAATGGTCGGGAGGCTTCGGAATTTAATGCGTTGACGAAAAGTTCGTGGAAGTTTGAGTGAAAGTGACTGGAATTCGATAGAAACGTAATAATCCGGCGCTGGTGTCAAAACTTCTGTGATTTGGGCGAATGAAATTAATCTTGGGTCTTGAAGAAATTGAAGTTCTATACTTGAATGAAGAAAACGAAATGATTCAATTTGCTCCTGAGAATCAGTGACAAAATTCTGCATTGGATAGTTGATGCGAAAGTCAGTAAGGAATCCTTTTTAATGGGGAGATTTCTCTGGAGTAGCGCAGTGTTTCGATAATCTGAATTTAACTGTATATCGTATTTTAATTTAGTTTTCATCATAGATTATCTTGACGTATTCTTTGAATTGGGTATTTTATGTAAATTATCGACGAATTTATGAACTTGAACTTACTTATGTTCCTGCTGATTTTCTTTTTTTTCTGTTTCAGATGCTTTCGTGTTTGGCGGAGATGACAACATTTTTGTCGGATCTACAGCGTATAACTTGGGTTCCAAACTGATGCGAGCTCTTGCGAGGGACTCGGCCAGTGTTTTCAATGATGTTCAGAAAATGCTCAAGTCTGAGAAATCTGGAAGGAATACGAGTCTATCGAATTTCTTGAACGCATCTAGGAAGTATAGGTGAGAAGAAATGGTGCCCCTTTTTCAATGATTATGAGTGTTTCTGTGCCATGGAATTTCAGCATTCCGTATAAAATCTTGAGTGAAACTGACGCAGAATCGTGTTTAGTTTTTTGCTGAAGTTTGAAATTGAATTCTTCTTGAGGGATGTGGACAATTTGAGACTGGACATTTTGAGAAACAGTAATTTAGAAACTGGGATAATTAAAGACAGCAAAATAAAACCTAACTTTCATGTACATCTTCACCTTCATTATTGTAACCTTTTTTTAAAACCTGTTTAACTTATAATTCATCATGTATAATTTATCACACATGTGATACAAATTGTTCAAATGAATCAAGAGGAATGAAAGCAAGGAAAAGTTGGTTTTTCATTCATCATTAGTTTATGCTCATATGAATATTCATTGCATCATGATCACAGTTCTCACATAAATTAAAAGCAACCAAAGTTTAAAACATTGCCTTACTTTGCCAAAATTAAGTCTGGCTACTTTGATTGCTGCCTAGCTGATTTACTGGACTCAGTTTTTAAATGATTTTTTTTACAATTCAGCAACTTCTGAGTGCTTCAAGATTTTAATTGTTTTCTGTGATTTTGTAAAGATGTTCAGAGATACACTTTGACAATTTTTCTTTCACTCTTTATTGCTCCAACTAAATACTGTATACATGAATTGTACAAAGGTGCAGCAAATGTTGCAGAAAATTTTTCATGGCAAAGTCTGGCGAAGTTTTATCATACACAAACAACACGTGTGTTCATCAATTTAGTATCAAGTGCAAAATTAGAGGGTTCACTGATTTTGATTTCTGTTGACATATTTTCTTGCAACACAAATAAAGAAAATGAGAGAATGATTGGAATCGTATTTTGAACTATGGAAAACCTTGAAGCATATTGCTATTATTGAGTGAATTCTCTTAATCAATTGAGTTCAGCATGGCAGTCATAATAATGTGACTGCAGAACAAGAATAACAAATGATACAGAACTGGTGTAGCTCAAGTGGCTGTCTCAAATGGTTCCTGTCTCAAATGGTTCCTGTCTCAAATGGTCTCTGTCTCAAATGGTCCCTGTCTCAAATGGTCCCTGTCTCAAATGGTCCCTGTCTCAAATGGTCCCTGTCTCAAATGGTCTCTGTCTCAAATGGTCCCTGTTTCAAATGGTCCTTGTCTCAAATGGTCCTTGTCTCAAATGGTCCCTGTCTCAAATATTCCCTGTCTCAAATATTCCCTGTCTCAAATGTTCCCTGTCTCAAATGTTCCCTGTCTCAAATATTCCCTGTCTCAAATATTCCGTCTTTAATAGTTTCTGTCTCAAGTAGTCCTATATAAAATAGTGTCTTTCTCAAATAGTCCTTGTCTCGAATTGTCCTAGATCCATTTCTTTAAGAGTGAAAATTGTCACATTTTCACCAGTATTTTTCAAAAATTCCCTATGGAAAATGATGTTTTCTGCTGTAGACATGTTATAGTCCTTGCAGAGGCAACTTGAAAAGATTTACTGCATAAATTTGACTCTTTTTGTAATTTGAATGTTGAATCTTATTCCAAATTTATGAGTAACTGGTCTGAATATCGCGCGAGTTGGACATACATTTTCCTCTTCAACTGCTGGTAAATTGATTGAGTCATAATCTCATTTTAGATCATTAATCAATGCATGCGTGCGGAATTTTTGCGAGGAAGAAACGCCAGACGAAGACACAGCTGCAATGGGTGCAGTGATGCTGAAAATTGATTTCGTATGGCATTTGACGGAGATTTTGTATCTGGAAACCGGCAGTGGTGAGTTTCAATTTATTCATTTTCTTTCGAGGTCAAGGTGACCCTCTTTTCTTTTTTTTGAACTCGCGTCGTGTGGTTCGCAGGTCAACTGTCTCTGTTGCGAGACCTCCGGGATTGGGTGCAGTTGCACATGAGTGAGAAGAGAGTGGACCTGGTGTCGGACGTGATGGAGTTTGAGACCAACGACGACGATTCGTTGGCGGAGGACCATCCCAAGTACTGGGATGCAGTTCACTACGCCTTGTTGCACCTGGACTTCCCGACTGTTCAGGATTTGCTGGGCCAGCATTCCCTGCGATCCGAACCTGCTTTCACGGAAGCCGTCGAGCTCCTGACGGAAGCCCATAAACTAGTGGTGCGTGTCTCATTTTCTGAATGAATGACTGACTGATTGCTGATAATTCTGCTGTGCATGAAGATTCGCGAGACCCGCGAAACGTCAATATACGAGGGTTCTAATTAAAGTTCTCGGAATGGAAATGAAAATGGCGTCTAATCGAGCTGGAAAAAAATTATTCTTTAGGGAAAATATATTCTTTGGCAAAAAAAATCAGCCCTAATTGACAATTTTTTTAATGTTTTTCAAAATTCACCCTGGCAGAGTTTTGCTATCCACTCAAAGATGATGCGCCCTTCCTGCAGTTTTTTTTATTTTTTTTAGCCCAGTTTTTCCCTCAGAATTCTTGAAATCAACGTGGCATTAATTCCAAGGTTGTCTTCAGATCTTCCGAGGTAATTCCGCCATTTTCATCTGGCTGTAAAGGCAGCTGTCAATGAAAATGGCGGAATTACCTTGGAAGACCTGAAGACAACCCTTGGAATTAATGCCACGTTGATATCAAGAATTCTGAGAGAAAAGCTGAGCTACAAAAAAAAAAACTGCAGGAAGGGCGCATCATCTTTTGAGTGGATAGCAAAACTCTACCAGGGTGAAATTTACATAACATTTAAAAAATTGTCGAATAGGGCTGATTTTTTTTTTTTGGGCCAAAGAATTAACTGCAGGAAGGGCGCATCATCTTTCGAGTGGATAGCAAAACTCTACCAGGGTGAAATTTACATAACATTTAAAAAATTGTCGAATAGGGCTGATTTTTTTTTTTTGGGCCAAAGAATATGTTTTCTCTAAAGAATAATTTTTCAGCTCGATTAGACGCCATTTTCATTTCCATTCCGAGAATTTCTGTTAGAACCCTCGTACCAGGGGTCTTACAAAAGCTCTCGAAATTTAAATTAAAGCGGCGTACGATTGATCAGAAAAACTAAAATTGTTTAGAAAAAACATTCTTTGGTCTGAGAAAAACCTGGATTTGTTGACTAATTTGTTCATTCTTGAGGGCGTTTGTTATTCAAGGCCATATTGTGCATTTTCCCGGCTGCCTCTGACGCGAATATCACACATATACTGTAACAGTGTGTCCCCAAAAAACAAGACTACGTAATCTGTTACGAAGTGACTTCCATTATGCAACATTTTTTTTATGCAAGACTCAATTTCCCTCAAGCTTACAGTGTCTTCCTGGCACTCAAAAGAAAATAACCTAAATGCTAAAAACTGTATTTTTCATAGTCTTCAGCATAAATTCGTGAATTTTAAATAGTGTATTGGGGACTCACCCGCTGCAAAAAATAAAAATCAAGGAACCAGAAAAAATTATGTACAGTACAGTAAAAGAGAACCAGGTTTTCGGAGTTACTTCAGCCATTTTCATGAACAGCCGCCATGCACTGGCGCCAAATTCTCATTCCAAGTGGCGGCTATTGATGAAAATGGCTGAACTAATAATATTAATCGCGGTAACCCTTGGAATTGATGCCATGTCGATTTCAAGAAATTTTAGGGAGAAGCCGCACTTGATAAAATCTGCGAGATAGGCATTCATCGTCTAAGTTTAGAGCAGAAACGTGTCATGGAGATTTTTGCAAAAATTTCCCGCAAAATATGTCAAACAGGACTGCATTTGTTTACTTGTACCTAAGAATTTTTTTTTAACGATACTTGTTTCTCAGCTGCATATCAGTTGCATGCCGTTTCAATGTCTATTCCAAAAATATTTATTCGAACCCTCGTAATCGGAGGTATTAAATCACTGTACGGTTTTTTCCACGTTCAAGGAAAGTCCTGGGGAAAAATTACTCGCATGACGAATATTTTCGACCGAAATAACGGGCGAATTTGAGCAAGTTTTGAGCTGAAACTTTGGAATTTTCCGAAAAAAAATTGAGGAAAATGGGAAAAGAATGTGTATTGCTTTTTCTCTTACTGTCTTTACAATTGACGAAATTCAAAAGACGGGAGCACGCGCTTGTCAGGGTTACTTCAATTTCATACTACACGTGGACTCTCTCCAGAATGGTTTTGTCTACAACAAATTTCTCCGCATAGCGAATTTATTTATTTTTATCCCATAGGGGTTGCTACGACAAAAATCTCTCTCACGCATTTTTGGGGGTTTCTTGAGTTTTTGTTTGAATGAAAAAAATTGAAGAAATCCTGTCTCAAGACAAGAACATTTGAAACAAGGAAGCGTGGACCCTCTTTTATTTATATTAATCCTGGAAAGCGTGCTTTTTTATATTACGAGGGCAGCATGCAAATTTTGCCATGATCGAATAAGTTGATGAAAACTCGGAATGACCCATTTTCGCTCTGAGAAAAACAAATACTGTACTGTATTTGGTACTGATGATTTTCTTTTGCTAATTACTGTAATGTGTTTTGTAGACGGATCGTATTGATCGTGCTACAGCGGAGCAGTTTATAGTGGAACGAGCAGCGCTGAAAGCCAACTGTCAAACACTGCTGAAATCCGGGCACTTTCTTTCGTATCCCCAGCTGGCTTTCATTCCAAAGGTACGTGGAAAGAGGATACTCTGCTGTTACAGTACAGTACTGTACTGTGTAGCGATGTACAATATACTGTACTGTAAAACGCTCGCTTTTTATTCAGCAAATTCGGCTACTCGAGATTCAGGTATGCGTCTTGGGATTTACGAATAAAAATGCTGCTTTATTGAATTTGATTCAAGAAAGTTCTCGAATGCAAAGAATCGATCTCGTTAAATTTTTAATACTGCGATGAAAAAAGGGAAAATACTCGTCAATACTCAGTATACTTTATTTTTATTCAATTTGTGATTTCATGTTGATGATGACTGCTCCAATTTTAAAAGAGTAAATCCCGGATGAGAATAGCTCCCAGATGAATAATTTAAATTTTTTATTTCAGCTTCACTTTAGTTACTGGAATTTAAAAAAAATCGTAATTTTAATATCTCTCGAACAAATTGAGCTACAGTAATTTATCTTCACAAAAATAAAAAATAATTTAATTTTAAAATTACTGTAATTCATAATCAAAAGCAAGCTAATTTTTACTTTGTTTTCCAACTGTTCCCATCATCTTTGCTCAGTATACCTAGATTTGTCATTCTTCTTTGCTTCTGTTGATGCCAGAAGGGAAGATTCTGTGTGCTTTTCTTTTACACAGTTATTTATGTACAGTACATTGTAGTTGAAACAAAATTGTACAGTATTTAATTTTTTGGGCACCTTATTCCTAACTTTTGAAAAACAGGAGAACTGTTGAAATCAGGGACTTGGAGCGGAGCCGGAGCCCGGAGCCTGGAGCAGAGCAATTTTAGCCAGAGCGGAGCCCAGAGCAGGCAAAATTTTTGGCTGCTCCAAGCTCCAGGCCTCAAATAAAATTTGAAAAATTTGGGGAGAACCCCCAGCCATATGTGACTGTTTGGCTGGCACCAGTCAACAAAACTACCTCCCTCCAAGGCAGCCAAGTCCTCAAACCCTGAACATTCTTCCCTTGTTGCTCAATTATTATTAGGTTGAGAGAGGGGTTATCCTGAATCCATGTTTTTCTCAACATCCTCAAAGATGTGGATGCGTGTGTGCTACACAAGTATCCCATGCTGGTTAAGTTGTATTTATTTTTCAATGAAATCTGAAAAATGGGTTAGTTTGTGAGATATACAAGGGGTCTAACAAAAGTTCTTGGAATATAATTTGAGAAGGCCTACACTTGAGCTGGAAAACAATTATTCTTTGGGAAAATTTGTTCTTTGGCACAAGAAAAAAGTCAGCCCTGACACATTTTTTGAATGTTTTGCAAAAGTCACCCTGGCAGAGTTCCACTCAAAAGATGAGGCGCCCTTCCTGCAGATTTTGCTGTTGTAGCCCAGCTTTCCTCTCAGAATTCTTGAAATCAACATAGCATTTCATGCCAATGCCTGATTCCTCAGTTCACCTTACACCCCTCTTCAGGTATGTGCTCCTGACCCCCTTAAGCCCTTAATTAAAAACTGTAAAGTTTAAAATTCGCTTGTTCCGCGTATTTTTTCGCTTGGTCTTACTCTTAAGTGTTCTTAAAACACATTCCCATTGTTTTCGGTCGGTTTTCTCCTGACCCCCTTAAGCCCTTAATTAAAAACTGTAAAGTTTAAAATTCGCTTGTTCCGCGTATTTTTTCGCTTGATCTTACTCTTAAGTGTTCTTAAAACACATTCCCATTGTTTTCGGGCGGTTTGCGGTCGGAATTAACGGTGAATTTCGCGATTTTTCGTTCGCGGATTTCGGTTCGAGATACGCCGAAACGATCGATTTTTTCGCGAAATGAAGCCCAAAATTAAAAAACTAAACGGTTCGTTCGGTTTCAGGTTGTGAAAGGAAGGTCTCCTGCGATTTTCGGCAGATTTCACCGTTCGGTTACTGAGATTCGAGCGAAAAGGTGAATTCCCTTAGAAACCTTAACAAAGTAGGATCAGATCTGATCCAAGTGCATCTTTTGGAATTTTTTCACAGTTGCATTCAAAAATGGCGGGTTTCGCGGTCACGGTCTTGTTGCTTGTGTTGGTGGTGCATCCCGATGCGTCATCGGGGCGGTGTCATGTCCAAGATGGCCGCCTGCATTGTACGGAAGCGTGCGATGCGGATGCGGTTCGTGCGGCGGATTTCGACGGCAGGATCGTCTTGACGGGCCGAGTTCTTGACTTCGGTTGTCTGGACTTCTTCGGCATAACGGTTGGTGGATGAGAACAGGGTTTTGAGTTGTGTTTCATCTTGAAAAAACTACTACGTCTTTCAACTTGACAACCGAGGCTGAGCAACGCTCCCCCAAAAAGCACGAAGCAACCAGCTAGGCCACCTGAAGACGTACTGACGGCAGACTACGACGAAGTTACCATCTTCTACACCACTTCCCACGCATGCTCCGAGTTCGTCAACGAGGATTCCTGTTGCATCGACGGAGCCGGTGACGTCAACGACGGCGGCCTCTTTCACTTCTTTTTCGACGGGGGCGCCATCTGTCGTCACTTCCGGGGACACCGTGGTCACACAGGGTTCCAGCACGGATTCATCCGTGAGTGTTCGATTGCTGACGACGCATATTGTTCCTGAAACAACAAAACAAACTACGCCGGCTCCCAGTAAGGACTTTTCGTTAGAGGTTTTTTCCAATGGGTATTTAAACAAAGTGTTCTGTTTTTAGCGACAAGCAAACCTTCTATCATTGTTTCGGTACTGAAAAACCTTCCGGAAACCCAAATTCACTCTGGGGATCATGCGAACGTCACGCTAACGGTAGTGGAAGGGAGAGCGGTCTTGGGCGCGGAGTTTGCTACCGAGCTATTTTCTAATTGGGCCATAGGGCTAATTAGCGGCCTCGGCGTAACGGTCTTTGGGTTGGCGGCTGGATGGATTACCTGGTGTTTGAGGAAGAAGGTACCTTCCGTTTTTTGCACTGTTGTTATTCACAAGTACATTCTTCGCATGTCACCTTGTCTTTTAACCAACTCTCAATAACTAACAGTATCTCCGTAAAATGACCAATAACCAACCTAAATCTAAAAAGGATATTGAAGAGATTGAAATGCAAGAGATGTCCTCAAATCCGACTATAACGCATGAGACCTCCATTAATGAGATAAAGGATGGATTTGCTACTATTAGGTCACGCAT